AGAAGCGAGGCTCGAAGGTCCACGGTCGAGGATGGGGGCTCGAGGACGGGGGCTCGACGGGAACGTTCGTGGGCGCTCCTGCCCCTCTGTGGATGTCGGGGAGGAGCAACCAGAAGAGGGCCCCTGACCCTCTGGGAGGGGGCCCAAGTTAGGAGGGCCAAAAACGTCCAGCGTCGAGGGTCGGGGCTCGATGACGGAGGCTGAGCGGGAACGCTCTTGGGCGCCTCCTTCTCGGAGATCGGGGGGGGAGTGACCAGGAGCGGACCCCTGACCCGGTGGGAGGGGACCCAAGTCAGGAGGGCCAATAACATCAGGGATCGGGGGGTCTTTTCTGCAGACCTATCGAACCAAACGGCCCAGAGGCCACGCCTTCACTGCGTTAGTAAGGTTAGGGGTTCTTTCGATGACGGAAGCCTTCGCGACAGGAACAGCTCCGGAAAGCGATTCGCTTTCGGATCCTGGGCCTGCCTGGTCCTCTCCGCCCAGCGCGCCGCGCCTTCCAGCGGCATCACCGTCATGCGGATCGGGATGTTGGCCCCGAGGTACAGGCCGGGAATGCCGTAGGCCTGGTCGAAAATGTAGATGCCACCCCCCGCCTCGGGCAGTGCAAAGAGCGGGCACCAGGGAACGGAAGAGGGAGGACTTGGCGGCGAGCCGGGGGGAGGAGTAAGAAGGGGCGGGCCTTCTGAGAAGGCTCGGAAGTCCCGCCGCCTTCTGACAAGGCCTTCTCCTTCTCATTCCCCCCCCCTTCGCTCGCCGCCGAGGGGAGGGAGGGAAGAGAGGGGAGGACAAAGCGCGACAGAGAGAGCACAAGGGGATCGAAGGGGAGGGGGGAGGAGGGGAGGGCGAAGCGGAGCGAAGGGGAAAGGAGGAGGAGAGGTGGGCGGAGGGACGTCCACTTGCAGGTCGAGCAGCCAAGGAGCGGCAGGCTCCCACTGGAGGACGACGACGACGACGACGACGACGACGACGGCGGAGGCGGCGGAGGCGGCGGCGGCGGCGACGATGACGACGACGACGACGACGACGACGACGACGACGACGACGACGACGAACGACGACGCCGAGAGGCCTCCAGAGGCATCTCGAGATTCGCAGAAGTCTCCTGCGGCTCCTGGAGGCCTGGGGAGGCATGCGGAGGCCTCAGCTCCGAAGGCCCCGAGGGGGCCAGAAGCACCCGCGGAGTTCAATCCCCGAACCTCCCAGCGCAGGCGGCGGCGACGGCGAAACGCCACCGCCTGCGCCGCGGCAGCGGCGATGGCGGCGGAGGCGCCGCCAGCGCAGCGGCGGCGGCGGCGACGGCGGCGGAGGCGACGACGGAGCGGCGGCGTCGGCGGCGGCGGCGGCGGCGGCAGCAGCGGCGGCGGCGGCGACGGCGCGGCCGGCGCCTCCCGGGCCACCGTCGGCGTGGCCTCCGCGGCCGCCGCTGGCAGGGGCACGGCGGTGGCGGCGGCCCCCGCCGCGCCCGCGGTCCCGAGGACCAGCGAGCGGCGCGCCAGCGGGACGGCCTGGCGGACGCTCCACTCCCTCCCCAAGAGAGCTCCAAGGCGGCCCAAGAGGCGCCCAGGACGGCCCAAGAGGACCCCAAGGACGGCCCCAAGAAGGGCCCAAGAGTGGGAACGGGAACCAAGAGTCCAAGACTTCTGCCCCAAGGGGCCCCAAGACGGCCCCGCTGCCTTCTTAAATACTTGCCACTCAGAATGCTGCGCTAGCTTGTGGCGGACTTGCCACAAGCAGCTGGACTCTTGGACTTCTATTCCTAATCCTCCTCTTCCTCATCGGTCCTCCTCGGCCCTCCTCCTCCTCCTCCTCCTCCTCCTCCTCCTCCTCCCCCTCCTCTCCTCCTCCTCTCCTCCTCCTCCTCCCTCCTCCTCTCCTCCTCCACGGTCCTCCTCCTCCTCCTCCTCAACCTCCACCTCCCCCCCTCCTCCTCCCATTCCCCCTTCCTCCTCCTCCTCCTCCTCTCCTCCTCCTCCTCCTCTCCTACTCCTACTCCGAATCCTACTCCTCTTCCTCCTCCTCCTCCTCCTCCTCCCTCCTCCTCCCCTCCTCCTCCTCCTCCTCCTCCTCCTCCTCCTCCTCCGTGTTCCCTCTGGTGCTCCTCATTATCCTCTTCCTCCTCCTCCTCTTCCTCCTTCCCCTCCTCCTCATCCACCTCCGCCTCCTCCTCCTCCTTCTCCATGTCCTTATCCTCCTTACCATCCTCAGTATTATCATGCGTTTTCAACTTAGCCTTGTGTTCGATGTGTATTCGTATGATTAGTCTCGAAATCATGTGTACGAGTAGTAGTAGTAGTAGAAGTAGTCGTCGTCGTCGTCGTCGTCGTCGTCGTCGTCGTCGTCGTCGTCGTAGTAGTAGTAGTAGTAGTAGTAGTAGTAGTAGTAGTAGTAGTAGTAGTAGTAGTAGTAGTAGTAGTAGTAGTAGTAGTAGTAGTAGTAGTAGTAGTAGTAGTAGTAGTATAGTAGTAGTAGTAGTAGTAGTAGTAGTAGTAGTAGTAGTAGTAGTAGTAGTAGTAGTAGTAGTAGTAGTAGTAGTAGTAGTAGTAGTAGTAGTAGTAGTAGTTGTAGTAGTTGTAGTAGTAGTAGTAGTAGTAGTAGTAGTAGTAGCAGTAGTAGTAGTAGTAGCAGTAGTAGTAGTAGTTGCTGCTGTTGTTGTACTACTAGTAGCAGGACATGTTGATTACCCGTCTTCTTAATACTAGCATTCGCATTTTAGTATAAGTGGTAATCGTAGTGGTAGTAGTAGTAGTAGTAGTAGTAGCAGTAGTAGTAGTAGTACTACTAGTAGTAGTAGTAGTAGTAGTAGTAGTAGTAGTAGTAGTAGTACGAGTAGCGCTATCAACATTGTGTGTACTATTTTTGTTATTAGTAATAACAGGCTCACTCGTATGATGAGTTGTATTGCATTCTGAATATGTGTAAGAGTAGTATTGTCACCATGCCATCAGTATAGTAGTAGTCATAGTGGTAGTGGTGGTAGTAGTAGTAGTAGCAGTAGTATCATCATTACCATTAAATACCAATCGTCATAGAATGGTTAACGCCTATGTCATTCGCCATGTATCATGAAGTCGTACAAATAGTATCCGCCGTACTATAACCCTCTTCGTATGATTATCAGTACTAGTAGCAGTTGGATTGTTACTGGTATTATCGTCGCGATACTACTACTAGTAGTAGTAGTAGTAGTAGTAGTTGTAGTTGTAGTTGTAGTTGTAGTAGTTGTAGTTGTAGTTGTTGTTGTTGTAGTAGTAGTAGCAATAATAATGCTATGATTAGTGCTAGCAGTACTACTATCACTGATATGGTTAGTGATATTAGCAGTACTAAAACGAGGTGGAATATGGTTAGTATCATTGGTGCTGTTCGTCGCGTTCGTGTCAAAATTAAAAGTGGGTTGGTTCGCCTTGGTATTGGTAGAATTCGTAGAAGTGGTCGACTGAGTCGTATTGCTCGCCTGCTCATCAGTAGCAGTGTTCATGTTAACAGTAACATAGTTAGCTTAGTCTTGTTAACCTGGTAGCCTTAGTATACGTATTAATACTAACATTGATCGCAGTACTCGTCGACGCATTACTCTGTGTCACTGGTACTATGAATGGTAACATTAGTAAACGTGTTACCCTCCGTCGTATTACTATTACTCCGCGCTTCTTCAAAGTAGTCTTCCTCGTCCTCCTCCACCTCCTCATCCTCCTCATCCTCCTCCTCACGACGACGACGACGACGACGACGACCACGACGACGACGACGACGACGACCACGACCACGACGACGACCACGACGACGACGACGACGGCGACGACGACGACGACGGCGACGACGACGACGACGACGACGACGACAACCCTCTGGGCGGGGGGCGCCTCGGAGGCCCCCGCCCGCGCGGCGCGGCGGGCCAGCGCGCCCAGTCTGCGCGGCCAGGGCCTGCGGCGGGCCTGGCGGGCGGGCGGGCGGCTCGTCGCCGTCGCCGTCGTCGCCGCCGTCGCCGTCGTTGCCGTCGTCGTCGTCGCCGCCACCGCAGCCGCCGCCGCCGCCGCCGCCGCCGCCGCCGCCGCCGTCGTCGTCGTCGTCGTCGTCGTCGTCGTCGTCGTCGTCGTCGTCGTCGTCGTCGTCGTCGTCCTCGTCGTCCTCGTCCTCGTCCTCGTCCTCGTCCTCGTCGTCTTCGTGCGCCTCGTCGTCGTCCCTGTCGCCCTCGAGAGCCCAGACCTCCAGACGACTGCTGCTGCTCGCAAGCCTGGCGCTTCCCCCCCCCCCTCTGTTCGGCCTCCCGGGAGCCGCCCGCGGGCCCCGGGGCCATCGAACAAGCAGGCGCGGGGCCAGAAGCTGTCCCCGGGGAGAGGGGGGTCGGGGAGCCCTGGGGCCGCGGGTGGAGAAGGCCTCTCGTCGGATGCCCGTGGAGGCGGATCGGGAATCGAGGATCTAAGTCTTAGGTCGGGCATGCCCCCCTACGGGCGGACTCTGGAGAAACGCTGGCAGGTCAAAAAGAATGGGCACGTCGCCCCCGGACTACTTTTGGCAACTTTTTAAAATCTTCCTGCTGCACAGGGACACGCCAGACTTCAATCCAGATCCCCACCCGCCAGGCCGCGGCCGTTGGGGCTCGAAGAGAGAGAGAGAGAGCTCACCTCGCACACCCTGCGCACCGCGGCCGCCAGGGCCGGCGTGTGCCGCCGCTCCACGAGTCGACAAGCAAGCGCGCTCCACTACTCGCGGAGTGACTGCCCGCGAATGGCCTGGATCCGCCGCGGGGGACTCACTGATGGGCCTGTTTTCCACCACCACCACCACCACCGCCACAATAGGTAGGAGAGGGAGGGGGTCCTCCTCCTCCTCCTCCTCCTCCTCTCCTCCTCCTCCTCCTCCTCCTCCTCCTCTCCTCCTCCTCCTCCTCCTCCTCCTCCTCCTCCTCCTCCTCCTCCTCCTCCTCCTCCTCCTCCTTCTTGTCATCCTCCTCCTCCTCCTCCTCCTCCTCCTCCTCCTCCTCTTCCTCCTCCTCCTCCTCTTCGTCCTCCTCCTCCTCCTTCCCCCCTCCAACTTATGGTGGTGGTGGTGTTGGAAAACAAGCCCATCATTCACGATGTATTACATCGAGAACAACAAATGTGTTTCGGATGTTTGCGAGTTGGCACCTTGCGAACAATGGAACGCGCTCGGTGAGTGCGGCGCGTCAACCAGCCGGCTGGGAAGCGACTCCAGTAGCAGCGCGTATCTGACCGTGCGTGAGCTGGTCAGCACAAGCACACACAGATGTGTACGTCGGCGGCTTCGCAGGGTAACTGCGCTGGCGATGAGCTTCCCAAACAGGGGTACCGTTGTAGCGAATTGTGCCACCATGCATTAACGGGCGAAGAACGGTATAAGATAAAACTTTTTCGCTGTCGGGGGCGCCTGTCCCAGGGCGGCTGGAGAGTTTATACCCTTACGGTGGCACCGTAGGGGTATAAACTCTCCAGCCGCCCAGGGACAGGCGCCCCCGACAGCGAAAAAGTTTGTGTTATACCGTTCTTCGCTCGCTGAATGCAGGAGGGGACAGGGCAGAGGGACGGTGAACGAGTGTCCCGCGCTCGCGTCTTCGACGAGTGACGCCTGCATGCCGCGGCCGCGGGGCCCAACGGCATGCGGGTGCTCCCCAGAGAGCCCGCCCACGCGTGCTCGGGCGGGGGTGGCTCGGAGCAGAGAAGCGGCCATCGTGCACCGTGCCCGCTGGCAACGGGGGGGCGTGATATGGAAAAGGACAGTCGGGGGCTTGACCTAAGGAACCCTAAATAAGGAACGGGGCCCCTTTTTTTCCATAAGTCAAACTTTGATTTCCCATCGAAAACCCAAGGAAAACCTCAGGCAAGCTGTAAAACAATGAAGGAACACGGAGCCCCTCACCAACGAGAAGGGTTCCTGCTTCAGCGCCCCGACTGTAGAAGGCACGGCTTGTGCATTCGGGTAAGATCCTCTCGGCCGTCGCTTCGTCGTCGTCTCCCCCCCCGCCTGCATGGTGGCACAGTTCGCTTCACGGCAGCCCCGCTTCGCTTCCCCGCCGGCGCGGTGATGCTGCCTCGCCGCCGACGCAAAAGTGCGTCGGGGTCAGGGGCCCCCCCCCTCTCCTGGCAGGGAGCTGGGTGCAAGCCCCCCTGCCCTCTGGAGGCCACGATGCCTCCTCGAAGGGGCGAGGGGTCCGCGGTCACGAGGCCGCACCTCCCGTGCCGAAGACGGCGGGTGTCCGCGCCCCGAGCTGCCAAGACGGCCTGTGCAGGCAACCAAAGGCACCAAGAGATGGCCAAACGTGCCTCGAAGACGGCCCAAGATACACCCTGCGAAATGCTTAAGAAATCATGGGTTAAGAAATTCATAGTCTCAGAATTTGAAATAAAACCCAGAATGTCTATTCAAATCTTAGGATTTGCATTGAAACATTAAGAATCATCGAGACTCTGGCCGAAAACTTAAGTTTTCTTAAGCATCGCCCAAGGTGTAGCCCCAAGGCGGCCAAATATGACCTGAAGGCGGCCCAAGATGCCTCCAAAAGGGCCCAACATGATCGACGCACGAACCCGGAAAGGAATATAGAAATGTAGGGCATGGCAACGTTTCAAAGACACCCGATTGGGCGACGGGCAAGTGCAATGCTGAATGTATCGAGTTTGATGTACCGTGCCGAGTGCTGTGCTGTGCTGCGCCGTGCTGATGCTGAACTGCGATGTGCCATGCCGCGATTGTGCTCTAAAGCGTTGTGGATCGAGTCCTCCTTTGCACCCGAGTCCTGACCGAACTGATCTGGATCGTAAGCTCGAGCTGCCTCAGCACATAGTTGGTAGCTGCCCCAGAGCTAATTGACAGGGGAACATGCCAGGAGAACGCGCCGCGGAACGTCCCAAGGGACCCAAGGGACGCGCCAGGCGACGTGCCAGGGGACGTGCCACGAAGACGCACCGCGGGACGTGCCGAGGGGACGCGCTACGGAAAGTGCCAATGGACGTGCCAATGGACGTGCCAAGAGACGCGCCGCGCGACGTGCCAGGGGGACTCGCCACAGGACGCGCCACGGAACGTGCCAGGTTGCAATGCTGAGTGTATCGATCTTGATGTACCGTGCCGAGGGCTGTGCTGTGCTGCGCCGTGCTGAACTGCGATGTGCCATGCCGCGATTGTGCTCTATAGCGTTGTGGATCGAGTCCTCCTTTGCACCCGAGTCCTGACCGAACTGATCTGGATCTTAAGCTCGAGCTGCCTCAGCACATAGTAGCTGCCCCAGAGCTAATGGACAGGGGGACATGCCAGGAGGACGCGCCGCGGAACGTCCCAAGGGACGCGCCAGCCGACGTGCCAGGGGACGTGCCACGGGGACGCACCGCAGGACGTACCGAGGGGACGCGCTACGGAACGGGCCAATGGACGTGCACCGCGCGACGTGCCAGGGGGACTCGCCACGGGACGCTCCGCGGAACGTGCCAGGCAACATGCCAGACTGCAACGCTAGGGGGATCAATATTGATGTACCGTGCCGAGGGCTGTGCTGTGCCTGGGCGACCTGGACACGTGAAAACACGCGTTTCGCTCAAGACGTTCTCAGCACATCCTCAGCCCCAAAGACGCCGCCAAGACGGCCCAAGACGGCCCCGAGTCACCGAAACAGCACCCAAAGACGCCCAAGATGGCCCCAAGACGGGCCAAGAGGCCTTCAAGACGCTCCAAGAAGCCTCCAAGAGGCCTCCCACGAGGGCCCCGACAGGCCCAAATCATTGATGTTTCAATGGTTTTTGAAGGATTTTGTGATTTTCGCGTTTTCGGCTTCCCGACGCTCCAAAACGGCCCAAGAGGCTCCGAAGACGGCCCCAAGACGGCCCAAGAGGGCCCCAAGATGGCCCCAAGACGGCCCAATAGGGCTTCGAGACGGCCCAAAATGTTCCCAAAACGGCCCAAGAGGGCCCCAAGACGGGCCGAAGAGGGAGCCAGGAGGGGGAAAAAAAACGTTCATTTCGAGCTCTCGGCCCCCGGACGCCCCCAGGAGGCCCAAGGAGGCCCCCAAGAGGCCCCCCAAAGCCCCCAAGAGGTCCCAAGAGGCCCCCAAGAGGCCCCAAGAAGGCCCCAAGAGGCCCCAAAGAGGCCCCCAAAAGGCCCAAAACAGGCCCCAAGAGGCACCAAAACGGCACCCTAGAGACCTCAAAAGTGTGGTCGGTACCATTTGAGGCACACCGACCACATGCCTCAAGTGGTACTTGTTCGGTACCACTTGAGGCATACAACGGACACGCTTCAAGTAATACTTCTCCGGTACCACTTGAGGCACTTTGCCGACATGCCTCCTCTCTGTCGGAACGACATGCCCCACGCCGTACCACTTCGGTAACACTGGAGGCACGTAGCTTCAGCCCCGCAAGCTAGGCACCAAAGATCCACGCCCGACCCTCATAGTCCACATTCAATACGGAAACGCCCCATGGATCCCTCGAAAGGCTTTCCAAGAACAGACACGGGCATCCAACACTCCTATGCCCCGCGACCAAGGCAAGACGTCCTCCAAGAAGGCCCGAAAGGGTCAGAATGGCCTCCAGACGGCCAAGATGACCTTCAAGATGCCCACGTGTCCCCCGAAGGCTTTCCAAACCGATTCGGGGAACACGTGGTCCGATAGCTTGGCAGGCCTCTGGCCACAACCTTCGGCCACATAGGCGCTCCCAGGCAGGGGGCGGCGGTGATTCGCCGTAGGCGTCTTCCATCCGCCGCCCCCTTTTGCTTTAGCAAAGGGGTGCCTGGCGTGCCAGACTATATAGGTTTTGGTTGTGGTTCTTTTTCCAAAAGAACTCCCCCTGGGGCTTCGGCCCGTCCCGCCGGCCACCTGGAAGGCGCTCAATTCCCCAATCTCGTCGGCTTTTTCGCTCAAGATGGCCGAAGATGGCCTCCAAGATGCCTCCAAGACGGCCAAGATGGCCTCCAAGGCGGCTAAGATGGCCCCAAGATGCCTCCAAGACGGCCCAAGATGCACCCAAGACCGCCTAAGATGGCCTCAAGATAGCCCAAAACGGCCCAAGAGGCTCCCAAGAGGCCTCCAACATGGCCCAAGACACCCCCAAGAGGCCTCCAAGACGGGCCAAAGAGGCCTCCAAGAGGTCCCCCAGGAAGGCCCGAAGAGGCCAAAATCATTGGTTTTCCTTAGGTTGTTGGAGGATTTTGGCATTTGCACATTTTCGGCTTTCCGACGGCCCAAGACGGCCCAAGAGGCCCCCAAAGTCGTCCCAAGATCGCCCAAGAGGCCTCCAAGATGGCCCCATGACGGCCCAAGAGGTCCCCAAGACGGCCCCAAGACGGCCCCAAGACGGCCCAAGAGGCCTCGAAGACGCCCAAGGTCGGCCCAGAAAGGCCCCCAAGACGGCTCCCGACGGCGTCAGACGTGCCAGGAACCCACCAAGATGACCGAAGTTGGCTCGAAGCTGGCCCAAGATGGCCCAAGAGGCCCCCAAGAGGGCCTCCAGGAAGGCCAGAAGAGGCCCAAGACATTGATGTTCCTTTGGTTTTTGACGGATTTTGGCAATTGCTTTTTTTCGGCCTTCCGACGGCCCGAGACGGCCCAAGAGTCCCCAAAGATCGCCGACAGATCGCCCAAGAGGTCTCCAAGATGGCCCCAGAACGGCCCAAGAGGGCCCCAAGACGGCCCCAAGAGGCCCCCAAGACGGCAAGGATGCTTTTAAGACGCCCAAGATGGCCTCCAAGACGGCCCTGGAGCATTCCAAGAGGGCCCCAAGTCGGCCCATAGAGGCCCCCCAAACGGCTTCCGACGGCGTCAGACGGACCAGGAGCCCACCAAGACGGCCGAACATGGCCCTAAGATGGCCCAAGACGGCCCAAGAGGCCTCCAAGAGGGCCTCCAGGAAGGCCCGAAAAGGCCAAAATCACTGATTCCCAATGGGTTTTTGAAGGATTGTGGCATTTGTTTTTGTTTCTGCCTTCCGACGGCCCGAGACGGCCCAAGTGCCCCCAAAGATCGCCCAAGGGGCCCAAGACACGGCCCCAAGAGGCCCCCAAGACGGCCCAAGAGGTCTCCAAGATGCTCAAGATGGCCTCCACGACGGTGCAAGAGCCCTCCAAGACGTCCTCCAAGAAGGCCCGAACGGGTCAGAATGGCCCCCAGACGGCCAAGATGACCTTCAAGATGCCCACGTGCTCCCCGAAGGCCTTCCAAACCGATTCGGGGAACACGTGGTCCGATAGCTTGGCAGGTCTGGCCTCAACGTTCGGCCACATAGGCGCTTCCAAAAAGGCAGGGGGCGGCGGTGATTCGCCGTAGGCGTCTTCGATCCGCCGCCCCCGGTTGGCTTGCCACAAGGATGCCCGGCGTGCTAAACCCTTTCGGTTTTGGTTCTTTTCCAAAACTCCCCCCGGGGCTTCGGCCCGTCCCGCCGGCCACCCGAACGGGATCTCAGTTCCCAAAAAAATCCCCCAAGACAGCTCAAGATGGCCTCCAAGATGGCCACGTTGGCCCAAGATGGCCTCCAAGATGGTCCAAGATGGCCTCCAAGTCCGCCCAAGATGGTCCAACACGGCCTCCAAGACGGCCCAAGAGAGTCCGAGATACCTCAAAGTTCGCCCAAGAAGCCTCCAAGACGGCCCAACACGACCCAAGAAGCCTCCAAGAGGTCCTCCAGGAGGACCCGAAGAGGCCAAAATCATTGATGTTCCATAGAGTTTCGAACGATTTTGGCATTCGTTTCTTCTCGGCATTCCGACGGCTCAAGACGGCCCAAGAGGTTCCTGCGATCGCCCCAAGATCGCACACGAGGCCTCCAAGATGGCCCCATGACGGCCCAAGAGGCCCCCAAGAGGGCCCCAAGAGGGCCCCAAGACGGTCCAAGAGGCCTCCAAGACGGCCAAGCTGGCCTCCAAGACGGACCCGAAGCGCCCCAAGAGAGCCCGAAGTCGTTTCAGCGAGGCCCCCAAAACGGCTCCCGACGGCGTCAGACGGGCCAGGAACGCCATGAGATGGCCAAAGAAGCCCCCGAGAAGCCCCAAAATGGCCCCATGAGGCCCTCAGGAGGCCCCAAGAGAGCCCAAGATAGCCCCAACATGGTCTCCAAGACGGTCCCAAGATGGCCCAATCGAGCCAAGAGTGCCTCAAGAGGCTCCGAAGAGGCATCCTCCCCCTTCTCCTTTTTCCTCCTTCTCCTCCTCCTCCCCTTCCTCCCCCCCGCGTTCCCCGAAACCTTTCCAAACCGACTCGGGGAACACATGGTCCGATAGCTTGGCCAAGCTCTAGCCCAGAGGTCGGACACATAGGCGCTTCCACAAGGGCAGGGGGCGGCGGTGATTCGCCGTAGGCGTCTTCGATAACGCCATCATCTCAATATGCGCTGATGATTCCCATCCGCCCCCACATGATGTTGCCAGATGCGCCAAGGCAGCGCCGAGACGCAGCGATGCGACTCTGATATGTCTCATGATGGTAGAAACAGAGCCAGCGGCAGGGGGCGAAGCCCTTACGGGTACAATAGACACCAGACAGGGGGATCAACGGTTGTTCTTCAGAAGTAAAGCCCCGTCATCATCATAATCCAAATCATCATCATCACTACCACCATCATTGTCATCATCATAATCATCATCATCATCATCGTCGTCGTCGTCGTCAGCAGCAGCAGCGTCATCCATCAATATCCATCATCATCATCATCATCATCATCATCATCATCATCATCATCATCATCATCACCACCCCCATCATCGTCATCAGCAGCATCATCACCACCACCATCATCATCAGCATCATCCCCGTTATCCTCATCATCATCATCATCATCCTAATCATCTACATCATCCTCATAATCCTCATCATCATCCTCATCCTCATCACGGCTCCCCCAAGCCTGGCGACACGAAGTGTCACACGTGACGGCCTCCCTTGCCCCCTCGAACAGTCGCCACCCGGAATGGTGGGCTGGCACGGAAGCGGGACTTGCTGCAGGCAGTGGGATAGTGCTTTGGGCAAGGCAGGCCCAGGAGGGCGGAGGAGGCAGCGGAGGCGCAGGAGCACCGGGAGACGGCAGCACGAGACGGACGCGAGGAGCGGCAGCTGAGTCCAGGGGGGGGGGGGAAACTGCAACGCCCAGAGCGCAGGGTCGATCGATCCATTCCGCCGTCGCCGTCGTCGTCGCCACCGTCGCCGTCGCGGTCGTCGTCGTCGTCGTCGTCGCCGGCGTCGTGGTCGTGATCGTGGTCGTGGCCGTGGTCGTGGTCGTGATCGTGGTCCTCGCCGCCGCCGCCGTCGTCGTCGCCGTTGTCGTCGTCGTCGCCGTCGTCGACGCCGATCGGCGGCGGCGGCGGCGACGTGCGCCGGCGGCGGCAGCGGCGGCCGAGGCCCCTCGGCCTGCACGAGGCTGCCCAGGGCGGCGGCCGCCGCCACACCGCAAGATGCCGCAAGGGCGGCCGCGCTGGCGCCTGCCCCGATGTGCCACGACGACGACGACGACGACGACGACGACGACGACGACGACAACGGCGACGACACGACGACG